TGTGGTGAAGAATAAAGTCCTTTGGCTCAGGTACTTTCTGCCAGCATTTATGAAACTGTGTTAGGCTGTTAGTTTGGAAAGAGGGTAAACTCTTACACAGTTTGTGATAGTATCCAGCTACAATGCCTAGCTGAAAGCATATATTTATTACATATTTGTTGAATTAATTAGGGAACACTGTACAGCTCTTCTCCCAAGTTGTTGCACTTCAATATATTAGACAATTTTTGTTATCTTTTTAGGTCTCCAGGCCTAAATTTTTATAAATTTCTAGCTCTATAATTCTATAAAATTATCTACAGCTCTAAAATTCTATAAATTTCTAGCTCTCTCAAAAAATATTTTTATTGGAAACAAATTCAAGTTCCTTTATACTTGCTCTATAAGCATGATATTACTTACCCAGAGAGTGGTCAATCATCTCCTTCATTTTAAATATTGTAATGTAGATATCACTTACTGAACATACACTCAAATTGACAGACAAAATGTTGGGGTCACATAGCTTGTATTTCTCAAATAAAAGCTCGGCAGAGAAGAGAGAGTTTTATCTTTTTTGTTGTAGACTATACCCTAGTGCCTAGGGAAGTGCCTGAAAATAGTTGGCACTCAATAATTACTTATTGAATAAATTGCCAGGGCTTGTGATTAATTACATATAGAGGCAGGAGTGAATGAGAAACAGGCAACAAGCATGAATCTTACGTTTAGCATAAGCAATTGGGGGAAAACTCTAGTGCCACTAATTAATATGGAGAACACTACGGGAGAAGCAGATTTGAGAGAAAATAAGTTTAATTTTGAACATGAACATGTTGAGTTTCAGATGTCTGTAAAATGTGCAAATAGAGATGTTTGACTAGGCAACTGTATATAAAGATGTAAAGTTCAGAGAAGAGATTCCATCTGGAGATATACATTTGGAATTCACAGGCTCCCAAAAATTGATGGAGCGGAAGCCTGAGAGTGCATGAGATTATTCCTGGGGAGGAAGGTGTGAAAGGATGAGAAAAGAGAGCCTAAAACTTAGCCTCAGAAGCTCATGATCTAAAGATTTTGATCAACAATAGCCAAACTATGGAAAGAGCTCAAATGTCCATTGACTGATGAATGGATCAAGAACATCTTCTTGATATATATGCATAATGGAATATTACTCAGCCATCAGAAAGAATGAAGTCTTGACATTTGCAACAACACGGATGGAGCTAGAGTGTATTATGCTAAGCAAAATAAGTCAGTCAGAGAAAGACAAATACCATATGATTTCACTCATATACAGAAGGGGCACCTGGGTGGCTCAGTCATTAAGCATCTGCCTTTGGCTCAGGTCATGATCCCAGGGTCCTGGGATCGAGCCTCTCATTGGGCTCTCTGCTCTACGGGAAGCCTGCTTCTCCGCAGAAAGTCTCCTACTCCCCCTGCTTGTGTTCCTTCTCTCGCTTTATCTCTCTCTGTCAAATAAATAAATAAACTCTTAAAAAAAAAAAAGAAAACAGATGAACATATGGGAAGGGGGAAAAAAGAGAGAGAAAAAAAAAAAACCATAAGAGACTCTTAACAATAGAGAACAAACTGAGGATTGATGAGGGAGGTGGGCGGGGGATGGGATAAATGGGTGATGGGTATTAAAGAGGGCATTTGTTATGATGAGCACTCTCGTGGTCCCATTTTCTCTGCTGGATCTTCACTAAGTACAGACATAAAAAAGGCAATGGTGGGATTCATCCAGGGTTGGAATTTGTTAGGCAGTTGCAAAGAAAGGGCAGAGGGAAAAAAAGAGTTTTAACAGTAGACATGCAATTTAATATAAATAAAAGGGGAACTGGACTAAAGGGAGCTAATGAATAGGAGGAAAGTAGAAGAGTTAGGTTAGAAGTGCTGATGAGGTCAGAGGAACAGTTGCAGGAGGGTTATGTCAACAGATTGGAGAGTAGACTTTCTGAATGAGTGATGATGGAAGTAGTACAGTTCTGATGAGGTCCAGGATTTGATGATAGGTGTGATCTGGAGGGAGCCATTTGGGATTTGGAGTACAGAGTTGAGGTCACTGGAATAAGGTATACTGAGTCAGGTGGCAAATAAAGGAGGGACAGCAAGGAGAAAGTTGGAAGAGGTTTGAAAAAAAGTATACCAGATGGCTTGAGATTCACAGCCACAGAAGGGTTGCAAGAGGGTGGGGAACTGATGGTCTGAAAGCAGTGTGGGGAAGCCAAGGAGAAGCTACTAACCCTACTTCCTGACTCTGAGATCCCTGAGCAGTGAGAGAGTAACCAGAGAGGCCTTCATGGGAAGCAGTGTCCTTGGAGGACAGCCAGTTTTCCCCATTTAAGAGCAGAGAGGTGAGAGAATACTGGGGAAAGAGTTTGAAGGGGGCACCTGGATGGCTCAGTCATTGGGCGTCTGCCTTCGGCTCAGGTCATGATCCCAGGGTCCTGGGATCGAGCCCCGCATCGGGCTCCCTACTCAGCAGGAAGCCTGCTTCTCTCTCCCCCACTCCCCCTGCTTTTGTTCCCTCTCTTGCTGGGTCTCACTCTGTCAAATAAATAAATAAAATCTTAAAAAAAAAAAAAAAGAAGAAGAAGAAAGAAAGAGTTTGAAGATGTGGGGAAACCATCAACACAGGACAAAAATTCCAGTGGACCTGGGGAAGGGCTGGGCCAGGGTATGGCTGCTGACAGGAATGACTTGCTCTCCGGGTAGTGACCAAGGGCAACAGGGATGTGAGAGGGGATGGCTTTAGACTGAACACTCTCTGGGAGGGCTTGGGCACATGGTCCTAACAGAATTCTGCTGGAAACTGAGAGGTGCAATGTTCCCTTTCTTCATGGCCAGCTGTTGATGGCGGTTGCAGGTCATCAGCAGGGGCTGGTACCCAGGAGCAAGTGGGCACCAGCCTTGTGGACATTTATTCAGTGGAGGGTGGTTGAGGGTGGGTATGTTCACTCTGGTTTTTGGGATTGGCTAGATGTTCTCACTGTCATGGGGTCAGTACTCCTAAAGATCTCTGTTGTCTGTCATCCATCAGTAATTCTAGCTAGCTAGCCAGCTACATTTCTCTCCAGTCATTCCTCTCCAGTCATTCTTCTTCTCTCCATCTCCCTAATACCTAGAGGGTCTGGGCAACCATCTTCTCTTGTCTGTCAGGTTACCATAACTTCCTAATTTTTCTTGCTGCTTCCTCTTTACTCTTCATTCTCTTTCAATTTATTGTCACACAGTAGCCAAAGTGATCATCCTTAAGTGAAAAGCTGATCACAGTATTCCCTGCTTAGAACCTTTTGGTGCCCTCCCTCTCCACTCTACCTTGACCTCCGGACAAAGTCTAAACTCATAACATGACTTATAAGGCCGTCACAGTCTTAGTACTCAGGATTCTTTGCTGCAGCCAAGAAAAACCAATTCATGCTAACTTAAGCAGAAAAGGAGTTTTTTAAAAAGGTATCAGGTAACTTACAGACTTGTCAGAGAGGCTAAGGAATAAGGTTTGGAAAAACAAAAGAAACTCAGGGAGGTAAGGCACAGACAAAATCAAATCAGAGGAACAAGCTGCCTAAATTATGGCGAGCAACCCTCGAAGTTTGCTCGGGACTGAGGGAATTCCCAGGATGTGGGATTTTCAATGATAAAATCAGGAAAATCCTGGGCAAACCAGAACAAGTCAGTTACCTTATAGTCTGCTGCTGTAGGCGTCTGTCATTTTTTTTTTTAAGATTTTATTTATTTGAGACAGGGAGAGTGAGCAAGAGGGCACAAGCCAGGGGCGGGGGGAGAGGCAGAGGGAGAAGCAGAACCCCCCCTGCTGAGCAGGGAGCCCGATATGGGGCTTGGTCCCAGGCTCCTGGGATCATGACCTGAGCCAAAGGCAGACACTTAACCAACTGAGCCACCCAGGCACCCTGGCACCTCTCATCTGCTACCTTAATACTTGCCCTCCACTTGAGTCCTGCCATCTTGTCATTGGACACTTGATGTCACCTAGCTATATTCTGTTGTTTCTGGCACATTCTGCCTTACCACTGGATACTGGGTTCTAGGCACCACGAACTATTTCTAACCATCCTGCCCTTCATTTTCCTCCAACCAGAATCAAAGTCCCAGATGGGAACATGAGCTGACTGGCTTTAGGTCAGTATACCAGGTTCCAGGAGCTCAGACAGGGTATCTGCTCCCTTTGAGGTTCCTCCTGCTGATTTTGGGATTCTCCTAAAATGGAAAGGGTGTTCAGGTGTTAGACAGCCAAAAGTGACTAATGTCCATGACATTTCTCCTTTTTTTTGCCCTCCTCACTTGCACATTATGCCCGAGGCTATACTTAACATCTTTCAAGCCACTGGAAGGTATCATGATCTCTCACCTCTAGGCCTTTACATAAGCTGTTTTTCCTTTTCTTTCTTTTTCTTAGAAATACTTTATTTATCTGAGAGAGAAAAAGAGAGAGAGCATGAGCAGGGAGGAGGGGCAGAGGAAGAGGGAGAAGCAGACTCCTCACTGAGCAGGGAGCCCAACACGGGGCTTGATCCCAGGACCCTGAGTTCATGACCTGAGCTGAAGGCAAGATGCTTAACTGACTGAGCCACCCAGGTGCCCATTTTTGTTTCTTTTTTTTCTAAAATAGCCTTTCTACAGTCCTCTTAACTGAGCCACTCCTTTCTCCAGGATGCCTTTCCTAATCCTTGGTGTATTAGTTTGCTAGGGCTCCCAAAACAAAATACCCCAGGCCGGGTGGTTTAAACAACAGAAATTTATTTTCTCAGAGTTCTGGATCTTGGAAGTCCATGATCAAGGTGTCCGCAGGGTTGGTTTCTGCTGGGTCTCTTTCCTTCGTTTGCATGCATCTGCCCTCTTGCTGCTGCTTCGCGTGGTTGTCCCTCTGTGCATGGCACCCCTGATGTGTCTCTGTGTGTCCTAATCCCTTCTTGTAAAGACACCAGTCAGATTAGACTAAAACCCACCCTAAAGGCCTCATTTTAACCTAATTACCTCTTTTTTTTGTTTGTTTTAATATGGATCACTTCATGAATTTGTATGTCAACCTTGTGCAGGGGCCAGGCTAATCTTCTCCATATCATTCCAATTTTAGTATCTGTGCTGCTGGAGTGAGCACTAACCAAATGCAGTCACATTCTGAGATACTAGGGGTCAGGGCTTCAACATATGAATTTGGGGGGACACGGTTCAGTCCCTAAAAGCTGGTTTATGTTAGGTCCTGTGCATGCCCGTACTATGTTGATCTTCCACGCTGAGGGCACATAGCACAGTTTCATAGTTTACTACTTACTTGTAAAGTTTACCCAAGTCAACCCCATATTGCTGCTCACCACTGGATTCCCACCCCAGTACAACAAAACTTGATTTACCTGATAAGTAATTTAGGCACTGTGACAACCTTTCACCTATTCTTCCCAGAAAAATACCACAAAACGCATCATTGCTTGTGAAATATTTAAAATTACCATGATTCTTTTCTACCCTAAAAGTTAAAAGCAAATTAGCCTGAAAATGCAGAGTGAAAATTTTTCCCCTCATTTTTAAAATAACAGCCAGTTATTTCCTAGGGCTCATTAGCCAGTAAAACATATAATCCCTTTGATATTTATTAGGAAGATAATCACCACTCAGTACTTTGAAAATATGATCACTGAAGTCCCAGAACCTCTTTTTCTTTTGCTGTTTGACACAGCAGCAACCTATACTCCCCTGGATGTTTTATCAGGGGCTCACTTTGTGTTGAAAAGTGCAAGAAAGAGTGAGTAGGCCTAATTTTACATATTCTGCATCAAATGTACTGTATTCTCTCCCTTTAGAGCCACTTAAATGAGATTCATATTCCTTAATATGAAAAACACTGTTTTTCCAACTGGCACCAATCAAGTCTGGAGAAATCATCCTCATGGACTTTGGGAAGGATATTTAGATACTAAATTGCAGATAGCCCCTGTACTCACAGTTCAAATAAATATCACACTTTGTGCTGGGACTTGTAAGATTTCTTACTTGTGAGTTACAAATTAATTTTAACCTGCTGATAATTTCAATCTGTTCTAAAATAAATGGACATTGGACTGTAAATTACCATAATGAAAGAGTCCCATTCCATTCACAGCACAAAAACTATAGTCATTAACAAGCTGAAATTAATATGTAATATACAAGGAGGCAGGAGGTATTTGAAGTTGTACCCACACTATCACATGCCTCAAGGGTAGCATCTGAAATAAACAAAGCACAGTTTAACCTAAGATTCTAATTTATAACTAGGAAGTGCTCCTTAAAGTCCAACCATTGGGGCGCCTGGGTGGCTCAGTCGTTAAGCATCTGCCTTCGGCTCAGGTCATGATCTCGGGGCTCTGGGACTCGCATCGGGTTCCCCGCTCAGCGGGAAACCTGCTTCTCCCTCACCCACTCCCCCTGTTTGTGTTCCCTCTTTCTCTGTCAAATAAATAAAATCTTTAAAAAAAAAAATAAAGTCCAACCATTAATTTCATAGTATGTTCTTTGCCAAAGAGGAATTAGCCAAACAGTCTATGACTGAACATTATCACAACTTACAACTTTTCAAGGTTGAAAAGGCAAGTTCTTTGCCTTCTAATGGTAAAGTAACCCAACTCAAAGGCACATATAAAAATAAAATTAATGAGGGGGCCTGGGTGGGTCAGTGGGTTAAGCATCTGCCTTCAGCTCAGATCATGATCCCCGGCTGTCAGGATCATTGAGCCCCATGTCTAGCTCCCTGCTCAGTAGGAAGTCTGCTTTTCCCTCTTCGTCTCCCCCTACCCCCACTCTGCGTGCACACGCTCGCACTCTCTCTCAAATAAATAAGTAAAATCTTTAAAAAATAAAATAAAATTGGTGACATTAGCTACATATCACTCAAGTATGCTAGCCATACAGCCAGTACAAAGCACTTGGTTGCTTTTGTCTTTTTCCCTTTTGATTTCCTCTCTCATCCTGGCTCATTCCTTCTACTTTAAATCTAGCTCTAAAATCTTATTACTACCAAAAATTCTTAAGGTATACAACAAAGAAGAGCCTAATAATTGAGTTGATTGGTGTAAATCTTTATAATTATCCACATTTTATCATAACTCTTCAAATGTCCTTCAGATTTTTCATCCAAAATCGAGTTTTTCGTTAAAAAAAAAAGCATCACTTAACTGGAGATTTCAGAGGGATATCTAACAGTTGTGTCAAGTTTACCACTTTCTAGGTATAAGCACAAACTCAGTTTCTATTCCTATTAATTTTGCCATGATTTTGCAGGTATTTACTCCATCTACAGTCAAAACCCTCCATTTCCTGGACCTCACTTGCCTTTCTAACCTTATTTTCTTTTGTTAAGGAGAGGTAATGATTCTGGAAGCAAAGATGAAGTACTGACGGAAGGTTTACTGACAAACAAGAAACCTGATCCAGATCAGGGTTGAGACTCTGTGACCTGGGTCTTAGGAAAGCAGAGTGTCCGAGGTCTGGAGACATCCAGGCTCATTGGCTAGGCATTGTGGAAGCATATTTCTGTGTTTTGTCAGAAGGCAGTCTCTCCAATGGGTGTGAAGTGCTTGTTTTAGCGTAGTGGTGACTCAGTTGTCCTTGCTGATTCAGGATTATGGAATCCTAGCTGTTGTTATAAAAGAAATCAAGTCTGCATTGCCTCCTATCCCTCAGGTGATATCATCATCATCATCATCACTGATAGTATCCTTATAAGCTTCTGTAGATGGGGGCCATGCCTTGTGTTTCTTGGCATCCTCCAAGGATGTGTAGAATAAATTTTATTTTGGTCTTAGCTTTCTCAACTATACAAAGAAAATTGGAAGGTTTTTAAAAATGCTCAAAAAATTTTACTTGTAGGGGATTGTAGACAACTTCAATAAAATTTCTGGACCTGAACATTCTTTAATCCAATCCATAAAGCTTGCTTATACTGAGTCCAAAGTACATGTAGTAATTCAAGTGCACTTACATTGATTATAATAGAGCTAGCCATAACATTAGTGATTAATAATTATTATAAAATATTTGTTAATATAATTATATATAAGAATTATAGAACCACATAGAATAATTATATAATTATAATACTAATGATTTATATCATATAATTTTATGATATAAAATTAACCAATTTAACTTAATAATTAAATCATATTAATATTTAGTCCAAATTACATTTAATAATTCAACATTTTTTCTCCAAGTTTATCCCCATCTTACCAAAAAGTCTACAAATCAGGGGACCTTCTTTTAGCATAGAGTTGTGCCCTATTCTTTTTATCACAAGGTTAAGAAAACAGAAGATAAAGATGACAGTAAGAAAGACTATGACTCTCTCCCATAAGCAAAAATACTATTTTTAAGCTTAATTTGAAAAGGCAGTATCAAGAAAAGATAAAGATAATTCAATATTTTTTCAGCCTAATGCTTGGTTTCTGCAAAGTTTCATGGCCCACTGTACTTCTCAAATTCACTCAGAGATCTGTGGCATTATGCCAGGAGTATGCAAGAAAATGATGAATTTTTTTGAAGCATCAATTTTACTAGGATATGTTTTGGGGGAAGTGTATATAATTTAAATTGGTAAAGAAGTTCAAATATTTATTATTTTTATTGAGGTATAATTGACAAAACATGATATAGTTGGCCCTTAAACAACATGGGTTTGAACTGTGCAAGTCCACTTATAAGTGGATTTTTTCAAAAAATATAATACAGTACTATAAATGTATTTTCTCTTCTTATTTTTTTTATCGGGGGGGAGTACAGGCAGAGGGAGAGGGAAAGAGAGAGAATTTTAAGTGGGCTCCATGCCCAGGGTGAAGCCCGACGCAGGGCTCGATTTCACAACCTTGAGATCATAACCTGAGTCCAAATCAAGAATCAGACACTAAACCGACTGAGTCACCCTGGCGCCCCTATTTTCTCTTTCTTATGATTTTCTAAATAGCATTTTCTTTTCTTTAGCTTACTTATTATAAGAATATAGTATATAATATATATGATATCCAAAATATGTGCCAATTGACTGTTTATGTTATTAGTAAGGCTTCCAGTCAACAGTAGGCTGTTAGTAGCGGGCTCACAGTAAGCTTAAAATTTACAGGCATTGGCACAACCAAGTCCAATGACAAATCAAATAATATATGTAGTGCACAGTGTAGAACATTAATAAGAAAGGACATACAAAAGATGAAAGACTCAAAGAACTCTTATTAGTTTATGCTGTTATTCATCTGTTGGAAGAATTTAGATTCTTTTCCTAGTGTAGCATTATTTAAGGCAAATAAGGCAATATAGATAAAATCACAGAAATGTCACAAATAAAACTTCATGAACTCTACTTAAAATTTTAGAAGGCTTATGGGTGCCTGGGTAGCTCAGTTGGTTAAGCGACTGCCTTTGGCGCAGGTCATGATCCTGGAGTCCTGGGATCGAGTCCCGCGTCGAGCTCCCTGCTCAGCGGGAGGCCTGCTTCTCCCTCTACCGCTCCCCCTGCTTGTGTTCCCTCTCACTGTCTCTCTCTGTCAAATAAATAAATAAAATCTTTTATTTTTTATTTTTTTTAAAGATTTTTTATTTACTTATTTGACAGAGAGAGACATAGCGAGAGGGAACACAAGCAGGGGGAGCGGTAGAGGGAGAAGCAGGCCTCCCGCTGAGCAGGGAGCCCGACGCGGGGCTCGATCCAGGGACCCTGGAACCATGACCTGAGCCGAAGGCAGATGCTTAACGACTGAGCCACCCAGGCGCCCTCCCTTAACTAATTATTATAGTTATAGTTATTTGTTACTACTTTTGTCTTTTAGCCTTCATACTAGCTTTATAAGTGAATAATCTATACCTTTATTAATATTTGCCTTTAGCAGTGAGAATTATACTTTCATATGTTTTCATATTACTTATTAGTGCCTTTTCTTTTCAGGTTAAGGAAGTCCCTTTAACATTTCTTGTAAGGCCAGTTTAGTGTTGATTAACTCCTTTAGCCTTTGTGTGTCTGGAAAAGTCTTAAATCTCTCCTTAAATTCTGAATGATAACATGATCACATAAAGTATTCTTGATGGGAAATTTTTTTCTTTTAGCACCTTGAACATATTGTGCTACTCTCTTCT